TACAAGCATACATACATACAACACTCGCTTAGTAAGTGACTGCCAGCTTGAATGGAGAAGGACCTTTACAATCGTTCTTGCGATTTATGTTAAGGACAAGTGGCGCCATTTGCACAGTGCCGCCATCCGTCAAGCTTCAACCGGCACAACAACGCGCATAGCCGCTTGTGAGGAAGGACAGCCGCAGCCACAGCCACAGCCACAAAATCGGCAAGGCGGTACAAGCGGTTTGTAAACAGACGCAACCGCAACGATTAACAAAGATTCTTCGAAGCATTTCTCGCTTGCCCGCATTGCTGGNATTTACATACATACATATCTTTTGTTAATATCTACATACATATGGAGGCATGGCATGAGTGACATGAGTATTCGCATGATATGATGAAAAGGCTGCAGCACTTGAAAGCAAACTTATTTATAAATATGTAGTAGCACTCGACATTCTTTCATCCGAATTTAAGTGTTTGGAAAATTTATTTTCCATTTGCGATTTCTTTTGCATTAAAAGGAATGCAAGAGGCATTTGTGCCCCAAAGTGTGCAAACTAAAGCGAAAGATTAGCATAAAGAAGGTGGTAAACTTATGTACTTAATTCCTATTAGAGCAGAAGAATTTTTTAGAAAACCTACTTTTATGAAAGAGTGATGTTAAGCAAAGCTTGATTTCCCTTATGGAACTTAAAGCTGACAAGGTGGCAAAAGGCATTGTTAAGGAACAGAATCGATTTTTAATTACATTAAAAATTAACTACCGCATTAAATTGGGTGGGGCTAAAGAAAAAAAAAAACCTTTTGTGATGGTTTATTATGGAATTAATATTAATTTTAAACGTCTATGATTTCCGGTTTTACCATTATGAAATGTTGATTATAAATCGTAACTAAGTTTTCTAACACTAACTAAAAACAATATCTAAGATTTGATATTTTCATAATATTTTCTTTTATAAATTTTATAACCTTTAGTTTAAAAAACAATAATACACAATTTATTATGTCTATTTTTTTTTAAATGTTGTAAAACCACTTTTAGCAACATTTATTTTTGAATTTCACATGGAAAAGTGAAAAAGTATTCGCCGCCAACATGTGTTACGTATCAAAGACTTGCGTCAAAGAAAAACAACGGCAAAGCAACGCGAAAGCCGCTTGTGGCAGAGCCTTAATTGGTTTCATAATTATGGCATGAAATTCAGCTTTTTGTCTTCGCAATATGCTAACGTGTTATTTAAAATAAACCGTTAGAAAAAATATTTTAAACAACAAGATTTATAAACCAAAATCTCAATGTTGGTCATAGGCAACAACGGGCACGAAAGGGTTAAGTCTCAAATAAAAATGTTATTGATATCAGTATCATCATCTGTTCGTTCTTACAATTTCGAATTTAAATCTCAAAATTATTTCCACATATCGTCGCTACCATGTCAAATTATCGAATGTTAAGGAGGAGGTTATCAATTCGTCGGAGTATTTTTTTTTTGTTTTTTATGTATATTGCCGTATAACTGTGTACCGCCTTAACCGATTTCTAAAATTATTTTTTTAATGGAAAGATGGGGCATCAGAGGTTGTCCCATATTAGTACCTAGCAGAAACTTACGAGCTTAGTGTGCTTAATGTCTCAAAAAAACAAAATGGCGCGCCTAGGCGTACAGTTTTTTTTTTACTTTATTTAATAAACAAAAAAATTATCTATATTCCAGTACTAAAACTAAGTCTTGACAAGCCTTGGAAAGCCAACAAAAACACCAATATTTAAAATTTTTACTAAAAACGCATATCAAAATGGGTCGATTTTAAATTTTCTAAGAGTATGCCATATTAAAATCAGTTCATTCAAATTTAGTTTTAAATAATAGAACTTACCTTCTTCTTCCATGCCCAAGTGGTTTTTTGTTGAAATAGGTCTTCACTAAAACACAACTACCGAAGAAACAAGTCGAACGATTGAACGGGAAGAGAACAAAAAAAAGCGATCACAACATTGACTGTTTTCATGTGGACGTATGTCAAAGGGAAAACAGCGGGTAAAATTTTAATGGCTGCCTTTCAATAGATCGGTTATTTAATTTTAGAAAAAGTATGTTTAACTCAACTGTTGCCAAAGTTGATATATCTGACTTTTGACCGGATTTTTCAGCTAAATACTCTTATGTGCAGCGATCAGACTTTTAAGTAAATGTGTCACAAAGCAGCATAACCATTTTTATTATGCGTAAATAATATCGGAGGAGAATTAAGTTAAAATTAAATTTTTATGAAGACAGCATGATAAAAATCTCTGCTCAAGGCATATCGACGCATCCAAACCATACTCTGCCAAGTCTGACTAAGTCTAAGTTGACTTAGCATGGTAAGCATTTCAAAAAATCTAAAATTAATCGATTTAAGAAACCATCAACATTTATCGTTTTTCAACAAAGCTTCACAAAATATTGTACAAGCATACATTTTTGTTATTTGGTCACTCTTCCGTTGCAGTTTTCAATTTTCCTATTAACTACCAAGTGAGTACTTTAAACTAACAACAATAGAAATTATATCTGTTGAGGATATGACGAAAAATGTTAAAAGGCGATCCCTACGTTTGTCAGAAAAAAAAAATGTTCTCGAATTGCCTTTGCAAAAATGCTTTAGACTCAGGTCTAATGTACATACGTATGAATGCATTTGCATATGTATATCTTAACGTATGTACTCGTATGTAGATGTCTGATTTATATACGGAACTACATACATATGTACATAAAAAATATATTTTTAGCTTTCCACATGTTATTTCACATGGTTATTATAGGGTGGTGAAAGCAAACAGCTTTAAATAAAACCACAAGCAATTAATCTGTGCGCAATTGATAGAGTTCGCAATTGATATTAACTGTATCTAGGTATTTTTGTGGCATCTGACTTTGGGAATAATTCTGTGAAATAGACATTTTAGGGCATAAAACAAACTACGCTCAAACGCCTTGTAGACATACATACATATGTACATATGTATAGCGTGCGGGCATATATTGATTGAGCCCCAGTGCAATTTATTTTTATTCATAACTCGATAAACTTTACTAACACAAGTCAATTGTAATAGAAATTGTTTGCGTTCTTAAACTATCTTGGAATTTAACATGCAATCAAATGAATGTTCATTAGGGTGGCCGACAACAATGCATGTGAAAAAGTGAAGTCGGAATTTTTATGCTCCCACCCGCTGGGATTGTTCTATACCGTAAAAAGTATACCCTTATCTTTTTATTTTGAAATCAAAAGATATTTAGAGGTCGCTCAAAGCGTCCAAAGTTTTCCATGTATTTTATATGGGAAAAAAACAACTTTTCGTAGAAGTGGTATAGAATAGTTAAAAATCAATATTTTTCTACTAGAAAACTCTGTTTATCTGCAGGAGATTCCCAGTTATAATACCCAATTGTTTATTTAACCATTTTTTCATTGCAACTATAATTTATAGGTCCGCCAAAAACCTCGAAAAATGCAATGGGGCGACCAATAAAAAATCGTTAGTTTTAAAAAATGATTAAATAAACAATTGGGTATTACTATCGAAAAAATATTGACTTTCAAGAATTATATGCCATTTCTACGAAAAAATTTATTTTTCCCATATAAAAGTACATAGAAATCTTTGCGCGCTTTGAGCGACCTCTAAATATTTTTTGATTTCAAAATAAAAAAATAGGTGTATACTTTTTTTCGATATAGAACAATCCTAGGGAGTGAGAGCATTACAATTCCCACTTTACTGTTTTTGGACCACCCTAATGTACATACTACATATCTAACGATAGATGTATGTATACTAATTACAAACAGTGTATTATTAATTGGCTCACTTTTCGTTACATGCCCACAAATCCACTTATACACTTTCATATGCCAATCAATAATTCACAATGTAAACAAGTCAAATGAAGAGGCTTTTCACTAAAACGCAACCTTCACCTCAATCATGGCATGGCTCATAAATTAAAAGCTTCTAAATTTTGCTTTGAACTTGTATTTACACAACTATTTTTAAAATACTACCACCAGAACATGTAAACTCATCTACTTACTCGTTGATTGCTTGGCTGGCTTGGCTGGCCTAGCAGAAGCCAATGCCATTGAAAATCGCTGACAGCAGTTTTGACATTCCACTGACATCTGTGCATGTTGCGTGCAGTAAATATATCAAATTAAAAATTAATTAAAGCCAACAGGGAAATAAGCGCGCGAAGGCATACACTGTGCACTACTTCGCCGCATGCGCTGCACGCCTCTCCGCTTTTTCCCCGAAGATAGCGAGCATTTTATTTTAGCTCATCGCTTTTGACATTTACGCCGTTGAATACTATGAAAAACCAAATTAAATGGCATCACACAAATAAACCGTACATTAGTTCTAAACATATGTATGTATGTGCATACATACTATGTACATATTTATAAATATGTATGTATGTAGGTGTCTGCCGTTCCCACACAGCTACTCGCAACACTCCCCGTCATCGCGGCAGTCACAAGCACTCAACAAATCAGTTGGTCGTTTATGAAAAGCACATGTCAGCTCCAGAAGCCATAACAAATAATTTGGCATTTTCGATTCGCTTGTTTCTTGTTGTTGTATTATTTATTTTTTTTTTTAACAGCACGCACTCTTTTCACAATACACATTTCACAGGCTTTCGCGAACATCGGAGTGCATGCGTTGCTCATACGCCACGTACGTCGTCTGCCCATCTGTCTACTTATGTATCTCGTCTCAGCTCAGCTGGCGGGCTGACAGTTCGCCTGCACCACTCTACTACATACATACATACATACATACATACATATGTAGCTATAGCTGCCTTGCCACTCTTATTATTTGGTGGATATTTTCCTGGGTGCTCAAGTGGAATTTGCACAGCTGAATATTTATGCTCAGACGATGTTACGTTGAAGAGATTAAAAATAAATACATGTTTTCCGCCGCGAAAAGGCCAGAAAAATACGCGCATGGCGGCATTTAAAGAGCTTGTCGAACTGCCAATTGACAAGCGCGCTGTGAATGTAAGGTGGGTAGAATAAATGAGCTTTTTGATGAGAACGCACCTGATAACTGCTTGCCCTTCTGTATAAAACTCATCAGCGACTGTTTTAAGCTCTTTTTGTAAAAATATACTTAACTTATATGTATGTATGTATGTCGTAACGTCTCGGTAAATCATATTCCACATTTATATGAATTTATATCTCTTCCACAGCCTCTATCAGGTACGTTGCGGCCTGCGTGTCTCACCGCGACTTCCCGTGCAGGTGGAAACCAGTATACCAGACACACCGCAAAACAATTCACATTCGGCAGAAGTGCACACACAAGCGCAGACAGCCACGAACGGTGGCAGCGGTGGTGGTGGTGACAGCAGCGGCGGTGACGGGGTGGGCGAGGGGGGCGAGGGCGATATACTGCAGGAGCAGGGCGACGCCCAGGATACGAATGGCGGCAGCCTATTGTCAGGATCTGCATGCATAATTAACGGCTGCGGTGCATCGCGCATCTTTCAGATTCTCTACAGGAATGAGGAAGTGGCGTTGCGCGATGTCATTCACTTTCGTACACACTTGTTGGGTGAGTTAAAAATTTATATACAAACATATATGTACTTATTGAATAAGTAAAGCTATATGTATGTAGAAATTAATGTTTTTAAAATTAAATGAAAGCTACATATCTTCCTCGAAATGGTGGCTTACTTAATGGTAGCCATCTACGAACTAACTTGGCTATGGCAGCGGCTTTTCAAAGTGTCTCTAAAGTGAAATGCAATTTATCGAAGGTAAACTTGGACAGCTTGACCGATTAATAAGTCATTCTTTTATTATATTTGTAATTAAAAATACAAAGTTTGTATGAGAAAAATTAATTTGTCAAGTGGCGCTGAAGCCAAGTTATTACTATTATTTAGGCGTTTTGGCTCATATTGTAGTTAGTTAAGCAACTGAGTGTGGCAGAACAAGTGAAATGTATTCTCAACTCTGAAACCCCAAGATGCCATCGGCTTCCCTAGAGAATCCAAAAAAAGGACTTTGGTAGGCGCATTCCTAATCCTTAGGACTCGAAACTCACAAATCTTTCTTTATCCAGGACCGGCAAATGCACAAAATTTGTTTTGAAGTCTCATCCTTTTTAAGGCAGAGGCGTCATTCTTACTCTGTGGTCAAGCGATTTTGGTCCACTTGAAAGCTTAATCAGCTACGAAAATTAACACCCAAAATCGGCTATTTTTAAGAAACTAACAACCTTGTTATCCAAAGAATAACCAAAGATTCCAATCTTTCCAAGGCCCATGCACAGATAGTTACTCGTACTTAAGCAAAAATTTACTCACCAGGAAGCGCTGTGTCACGAAGAGCGCATATTTTTGTCCCTCAAGCACATCGCAGCCAAAAGCTCCTTACCTAATCCTTGCCTAAAGTTTCCTTCACGACAGGAAGCTGTAATAGGAGCTGACATGTAGGTCGGATAACAGACAGATATTTGCGCCACGGGAATGGACCAATTGACCTGTGAGCAATAACACCACTTGTAGGCAGCTCCATCTACTTAGATTGACAACGAAATATTCTCCCTGTTCCTGATGGTGGGCAAGTTAAAAGAGCAACGTTTGCAAGATATGGATTGTATTTAGAATTGGTCCAAATACAGAATTTTTATGGTGCATCTATTTGCTACGGTGACTAAGTGAGGCAAATAAGAGCCACTGAATAACACAAGTTCTAGCAATAGCCTTAAGGTCTGATTATGGCAACTTGACATAACTTAGAGGCTGACACTTGAAAATTCTCTTAAATGGATATCCTTATATTTGGACTTAATGCCACGTCAAAGTCATTTTATTTTGATTTTTTAAGTTCTTAGTTCCGTTAAGTTAAGTTAAGTTGCTATATTTAGACCTTTAGTGTGTAGATCGCACACATAACTTGAGAAAAACCAGTAAACTTTAAAATATAAAATAACGGTATTCGCGGTGATTCTTCACATGGCCAAGAGTGTGAAATATATATTAACATTAGACTGCATCGCCAAAAAAAGTTGCGGTTTTTCCCACCCGGATTACAAAATTTATTACATTTGAAGACGTCCACCAAAATATTACGGAAAAGTGTTAAGATTTACGGGAGCTGGATTAATACCTCCAAAAATGGAGTTTTTTATGAATAAAAATAGTTTCTTAAAGAATTTTTTGAAAAAAATCCTCATAAAAAATTCAACGGAATCGTAATGAGTAGATTGTTGATGCTGTTCTTTACCTTTTTTCAAAAATTAGTTTAAGAAAAACTTGAATAACGGGGAAAAAACTATACCGCTTTAGACCTAAGAGGCATCAGTTCAAAAGTATTTTCTCACCCTTTTTATTTATTTGCAGAAAGACTAATTCACGCCCCAATTTTTTTTTTTTTTTCAAATATCAACACATCTTAATTCAACTTGGAATTACGCTCATTCATCCTAACTTTCTGTTTCATACTTTGAATGAGTTTATGTGCAAATAACAAAAAAAGGTGAGAAAATACCTTTTCAATGATGCCTCATAAGTCTAAATCGGTAAAGTTTTGGCTGAGTTATACAAGTTCTTCTTAAACCAATCTTTGAAAAAAGTTCAAAAACCAGCATCCAATATCTCATTATTACGATTGCGTAGAAAATTTATTTAAATCTTTTTTTGCAAATTTTTTAAGCTTAAACTGTTTTGTCAATTGAGGCGGCTTTTGCAGAAATTCTTTAAGAAACTGTTTTTATTCACTAAATTTTTTGAGAAATTTTTTTATATTTTTCCTAAATATTTAGGCGAAAGTCTTAAAATATAATATACTTTATAATTCCAATGGGAAAACAGTACCGATTTTTTTTTGTTGTATGGGGAGTGATGCAGTCTAATGTAGTACATACATATGTGTATGTATGTAAGTCTAAATGCACATCTATATATATATATATATATATAAGTATATACCCATTTGTATTTGATTGAATTAAAGTAATGCCAAAAGCGCCCCATGTGCTGGCACAATATTCGAGTCATGCATCCTGTGCCGTTCCGCTGAAGCGTGCAGGCGCTAGACAGCGTTTCGCAGTGCGTGCCAACTGCCGCATTATTGAAATTACTGCGCTTGCCATTCGACTTCGGCCGACATCACTGCAGGCTGCAGCAGCGTAACGCAACCAACGAGGCATATGCAAGCGATTTTGCTTGACTTGAAGTAAAACTAAAAAAAAAAAAAAAAAGTGAAAAGCAACAGCAAAAACAAAAGCAAGCGATAGATGTCAGAGCAGAGTGCAGCGAAAATAGAGTTAATGAGCAAAGTACGTATATTTTGGCATAATGAAAAGTTACTTTTAAATGCTTCATTGGAAAGTTTTTTTTGTTTTTTTTTTTGGACACAAAGTGCTTAAGTAATTTGTAAGTACTGCAGTCAGAATTAACAAATGAGAGTGCTCTCTAATCAAAACTTAATTACAAGTTTGCACAAGATTAGTTCCTAGGATTTGATTAAGCCCAATGGCTGACAACTACTGGGGTACAAAAAATATTTTAAAGTGCATACAAACATAAATGCATAAATATTTCACATTTTAAAATATATTTTTCCACTGTAAAAATCCATCTCTAATCAAATACTACTAAAAGTCAAGAGCCAAAAATTTAGTTAGCTACAACAATTTAATATCACATAAAAAACATTCGTCAGAATTGCTCGCGGTCATAATCGTATTTCTTGCACACACACTCGCATAAGTATGTACAAATGCTTGGGATTCAAGCATTAAAAGTACTTTGTTTATGAATTTTATAGGGTAATAAAATATTAATGTTCGCTTCCTCGGCTTTTTCTCTTTACGATAATATATGTAAGTATGTAAGTATGTGCATACGAGTGTAGGGTCTTCAATATTTGTACATACATATATGTATATTGGAGAAAGAGCGGTAAAGTATTCAGAAAATCGTTGCTTAATCAAGTGCTTCGTTTAAATTTGTACAAAATATGATTTAATGCAAGGTCGTTCTGTATGAAGCACTGAATGATACTTTAGCTGTTAGGAGCTTTATGCGGTTAATGTTAAGTGGCGGCATAAACAGTCTTAGAATTATTGCTTATACTTATGAATTCACAAGAGCTAAGAAAATCATATAAGAGATGTAGGAAATATCTAAAAACTTGTTTTATATAAAAGTTTTTGATTTTTTTTTTGTGTTTTTCACCCACCTTGGGCGACAATGTTTACATAAATATTTACTTGTACATGTGTTCGTATAATCTCTTCACGAGCCAAAAAATATTTTGTTAATTTCACGCTCCGGCCAACAAGTTGCGGTAAATTTTAATAGCTAATACTTGTGTTGTTCACTTATACTACATATGTTTGTATGGAGCAGTATAGAACCATGCAGACATATATGCGGATAGCCTGAAAAAGCGATCGTTACGCAAACTATAGACTTCATCATTTTAGCCGAACTAATTCAAAGCGTGTGCACAGTGAAACAGTTGGTGTTCGGCTTACTGAATTCTAGGCCATTGCTTTGCACTACTGGGTATGCAACCGGGAGCAAAATGCCTTTAAATTATACAGGCTTTCACTAAACGGAAGTAAATTTTTTTAAGTGACACATGTGCATGCTTTTACCGCAGGTTCGGATTCTGTGGATAAAAATACGTTATTTTTGGAATAGACTTCCGGAAGACTTTTTGGAAGTCGTATATACGACCAAAAGATAGAGCCATGAAATAAGCACCTGCTAGAAAAAATTGCCAAACAAAAGTGACGTATTTTTATAAATAGAATCCGAATCTATAGTAAAACCATATATATCCCATTAAAAAAATGTACTTCCGGTCAGTTTAACCCACTTGCGGTCGACCAAATATAGAGCATTTCATAAATTTGCGTTTTCCAATATGAAAAAAAAATAAAATTTTGCTCCATTTAAGAAGAGGCGCACAGGTGGTAGAGTTTGGTTTAGTTAACCTTACTGCCGCTCCTAGCTATTATTATTTCCAAGTCTTCTTTGTCGAGAAACAAGTCTACATGTGTAGATGTTCGATGTGATTACTACATGCCTTGGCTCAACCCTGAAACTATCCCTAAGATTTCTGCTGCATGGAATGGTGAGGCAGCGTTGTGACATTATGGGACATCTCGAGTTTCTACAACTTTCAGATGAGCTCCTGAAGAGACCTCGACTGGTTTAACGATGGCAGCTACGGATCTACCGTCGCCACAGACAACTTACCTACAAGAAAATCAACAGGCATCCGTACAAGGATGAGGACAGATCTGGGTTGCCCTGCTTCACTTCTAGCTTTACTTTGGATCTACTTCCATTGGCGCTTACAGATTCCACTTTCCTCTATGTTTTCGTCCATTGCTTGCTTCACTACTCTTCTTCGGAGCGAAATGCGCTTTTCCATAGAATTCTTTTTTTTCTTATTCTTCTTCTTCTTCTTATTTTTCTTCTTCTTCTTCTTTTTCTTCTTCTTCTTCTTCTTTTTCTTCTTCTTCTTCTTTTTCTTCTTCTTCTTCTTCTTCTTCTTCTTCTTCTTCGCCTTCTTCTTCTTCTCCTC